GGGGGCAAGGGGGGCGGGGCACAGAGGATAAGGAGGCGAGCAGGAGCTGGAGCTGAGAGGTCACCTTCCTGGGGTGTCACATCTCGTCCAACCCGTAGTCCTCCTCAGGGAAGTCTCCCACCGTCACAACTGAGGGCTTGACGAAGGCGCCGTACTTGGCCTGGCACTCGAAGTAGCGTTTCCCACTCACGCTGTAGGGCACGATGAGGGAGCCAGTCAGCGAGCCTCACGCCGTTCTGACCCCCGGAGGCTAGGGTGGGCGGGCTCACGCCACACAACACACACACACACACACACACACACCGTTCTTTCTGACCCCCGGAGGCTAGATGGGCTGGGTCACACCACACAACACAGGCGTGTACCACACACACACACACACACACACACACACACACACGCTGGTTGTTACCTGCCATCATTTTTCCCTAGTGGCTCGTCATAGCGGACACCGACCCAGTAGCCAGGCTTGAAATCTGTGAGTCCTGCCCAGGAGAGAAATCTGAGTGAAACTTCCAGATGCAGCCTGTCCCAGGTTTCCGCGGGCCCAGTGCGCGCCAGGCCTGTCTCGGGGAAATCACTGCTCTCAGTTCCTCTGCCAGCGCTCAAGGCACCTCCGTCTCCAGCCTCTTCAATGGCCTCTGCTCCCGCCCACCCCCCTTTATCTACTGAGCATCCTCGGCCAGCGGCTCTTTGTAATATCCTAAGGGAGAAAGGAGTACCACTGTCCCTAATGCTCCAAAGGTTGCCCACCCCACTCGGCATACAATCCACAGTGTTTACACCCCAATGGTTTTGGACAAAGGCACCAACACAATTCAATGATGAAAGAACAGTCTTCTCAATACATGATGCTGGAACAACTGAGGATGCAAAAGAACGAGGTTCACACAAAAGAATGACACTGGATTCCCACCTCACACCATGTATCAAAATTAGCTCAGTGAAGCAGAGGCCTGGAAAGAGCCACAGCATCAAACGCTCAGAACAAAGGAGTAAATGCTCGAGACCTTGGACGAGTCAATGGTTTCTTACGAGGACACCAAAGACCATAAGCAACAGGGGAAACTACAGGTAAACTGGACTTCCTCAAACCTAACAATGTGGGGCTTCCATGGACGTTATTGGAAAATGAAGGCAACTTCCAGAATGGGAGAAAATATCCACAAAACATATCTGATGAGACATATGCAGAAGGTCCAAAGAACTATTAGAAATCAACAGTTTATGGCATTCCACGATGCTCACCTTCCCAACACAGAGCTGAAGACAAAATAAGCAAATGTGAAGAAAGCTGATGGCGCCCGGCTATCAAAAGATATAGCATCTGGGGTCTTAATGGCTTGAAGGTAAACAAGCGGCCATCTAGCTGAGAAGCAACAAAGCCCACATG